TGCAACAAGCACCCAATAAATGTTAGCTATTATTCTGTGATTATAAAACGGATTCATAGACCTCATCTTTAATTATCTTATTAAGATTTCCTTCCTCCAAAGCAATGTTTGGGCACTTGGGTTTGGTGGTGGTGGTGGTGGTGGTGGGGTAATGTTTCATTCAAGAAAGCAATCATAGAAATGCAACTTATTTTGGCCATTGCAGAACATGTCACTCTCCTGCCTCCCACAAAGAAATGATTGCTCTCTACTATCTGCGTGTTCCCAGGGATAGTTTTAAGGAAAACTGAGGTACACAGAATTTCAAAGCTTGAAACTTCTCATCATGACATGAGATATCCATGTTCACCTTGTGACAAAAAACTGCCACTAGAGTGCCACTTGAAACTGCACTGTCCACTGTCACAGAAATGATCACAGCACTGAGTATGTGAATATTCTCCAATGAAAATAATAAAAATGCTTTCCCATAGTCTTTTAGTTGGGGCATAGGAAAGGGTGGACTGAAGAGTTTAAACGACAGGAGGGCCCCCAGTGGGTTGATGGAACGAGAATGTTAAGAGAAACATGGATCTTGCTCCTTCTTCCTATAGATTGTGTCTGTCCAGTTCTGTGCGGGGCACTCTGCAGAGCTGGTACTACTTGGAGACTTCAGCCAAGACCAGAATCTTTTATTTTATGGCCCAGTGAGCTTTCAGGAAACCACTACTCAAGTAGTTCCAGAACCACAGGACCAGTGGCAAAGGGATATATGCAGTATTTTGTGCAACAAAGCCTTTCTTTGGAAAGGAGCTAAAATCTGTTACTCTTAGTTCCATGAAATCTAAAAGCATCTGAGTTTGGAAACTAAGGTATTAAAAGAGGCTGCCAGTAAACGGTATATATAAAAATTTTATTTTATAATCACTTGCTAGCCCCAAATTTCTAAAAATGATTTGTTTCCTGGTTTTTGGGCAAGAAGTACAAATATCACTTATTTTGTCCCTTTCTATATAACCACCTACGTACCTACCATCTCACTCATGTTGCACAGATAAAGTGAGTTATAATAGTCAAAGAAAACAAAATTAGTTAAACTGAACTTTTCATTAGTAAATACATGATGCTACTCTTAGTTTGGCTACCAGATGGGTAAAAGTATCAGAAATTCTTGACAGAATGAGACAAGTGAGAACAAAAGAGATTTTCTGCTCTTTCTGGGTAGTGCCAGGCAGAACTCTGTTATGATTTTCTGTATTTCAGTTGCTGAGGGTGAAGAATGTGTCTTATTCATCTTTGTATCGCTTGGGTATAACAGTAGGATTTTAGAGTTGTAAGACGTCTTAGACAGCATTCAGTCTAAACTCCATCTTATAAACAAGGAAACCAAGAACCTGAGAAATAAGAAAGTTTGCCCTCATGATATTCTCTGGTAGAATGGAGGATTCCAACCTGGTTTCCTGACTTACAGATCCCATCCTTTAAAATGTTTCTCAACACACCCCACCTCATCCCAGTTTGTTGGGGATAGTTGTGGTTTATACCTATTGTCCTAGACTACTTATTCATAGAGCCAGTGTCATTATTCCAAGTATCTCAGCATGAAACATTATAAGGTTAACTTAATTATATAATATTGCCCTCCCTTCTCATAGGTAATAAGGGAAGAGAGTGGAAATACTGGTTTTCCTGGATGTAGGTGGTAATCTGATGACTGTTTTGCTCAAGGCCTGACAGGATTCTCGGACAGAGTACACTGTAGAGATAACAAGTGTTTATAGAATAAAGGGTCAGGATCAGTGTGATCCTCCTCCTCTCCAGGGCACAAAGGGGAAGCCCTGTGCTAACACCAGCCTCCTACCTCCTGACACTGCCACGTGACTGCTCGTCAGGAAGGTGACATCTCAGTGTCATGCACACATGGAGGAGATGTGTGGGGGAACTGTTGCCACATTAAACAAGACGCATTTGTTCTGTGATATAAATTCCCATTGTGAAATTATGAGCATCTGAACTGGTGAAGTTGGTGGCTGGGTGAGGTGAAGTCCTGGAGGCTGAATAAGCCTTGTGTTTCTATTTCACTCTTTGCATCACTGTGCCAGGCTGCTTAGGAGCCGAGTGGGGCCCCCTCTGGAGTACCCTATTCTGCCATTCATATACATATTAAGCATCTCTAACCCAACATCAGAAATCTGAAGTGACCTCAGCTCTGAAACCTGAGCGCCAGCCTGACACACAAGTAGAAAACTGTGACAGGGTGCAGTCAAAATGCAAGTACACTGGTAAACTGCTGAAAATGACAACTTTAAAAATACTGTGTAAAATGGTCTTCTGTCTCTGTGTATAAGGTATATATAAAATATGAGTGAACTTCACGTTTAGACATGGGTCCCCTCCCCAAGACCTCACTATGGACATGCTAATATCCCCAAATCTGAACCACTTC